AAATTCTTGAAGCTAGTGACTGTGCCTTTTGATGATTTATATCCTTTTAGTTATCATGTTCATAGTGCACTCCAGTAATTATTTATTGGAAGATGCAGTAGAGTTTTTGTATTCTGCTATCTTTGCTGTTGAGATTGCTAAAGTAAACCAATAAGTTTCTTTTAGAAACTGATAGATCCAGTGACATCAATGAATAAGAAGGCCAGGCCACTCAATTGGTTAGAGTGTTGTCCTGATACACCAAAGTGTAGATATGACCCCTGGTCAGGGCACATACAGGAATCAACCAATAAATGCATAAATAAGTAGAACAACAAATCATTGTTTCTCTCTCCCCCCCTTTCTCCCTTCCTCTCTCTCTCTAAAATTAATACGTAAAAATTAAAAAGAAAGGAGGTACAAGTAGGAGATACAGATGTTGGATGCATTTGGCCATATTTTCAAAGACAAATGTAATGGATAAATTATCACTTATTAGGGGCCCAGTACACGAATTTGTGTACCTTGGAAGGAACTGTGGGCCATGAGGCTGCACTGGGCACAGGGACAGGTCTTGGCTTATCATCCATGCACCTACCTGGCCCTTCCTGCCACAGTCCCTGGTCCCCTGTCTGCCGGCAGCTCCACTACTGGCTTCTGCAGCCACCGCTTGCATCTGCTGACAGTGTGGAGCAATTGTGGCCGGCACCAGCAGCAGTTGCGAGTGGTGGCTGCTGCTCTAGGTGCCCCTCAGGAGCGTGGGGAGGTAGAGAAGCCCTCAGGGGTGACCAGGGTCCCCAGCTGCTGCTTGCACCCACTGACAGTGCTGACCAATTGGGACCAGTGCTGGGGGTAGGCTTTGGGTGTGAGTGGGTCTGAGAGGTGGCTGCTGGCCCTGATTTCCCCTTAGGAGCAGGGGGAGGTGGAGAAGTCTTGAAAGGTGATTGGGGCCTGCAGCTACTGTTCGCACCTCTGATGACGCCAGCAATTGGGGCCAATTGGGGCCAGCACCAGGCGCTGGCAGCAGGTGCAAGGGGGGCTGGTGCCGACAGCAAGTGTGAGTGCCGGGCAGGACCACGGTGTGCAGGAGCAAAGAATTTTCAGTATGTACCAGAGGCTTGCCCTGATGACAGCAACTGGTGCCCTGCCTTGGTCTGGCGCCCCTGCTCATCTGCTCCACCATCTCACCATGGCCAATGCCCACCATGTTCCACAATCTGCAGCCTGAAGCAGATACCCACCATGTTCTGCGCATGCCCCCTGGTGTTCAGCGCATGTCATAGTGGCCAGTTGTTTGGTTATCCCCCTGTTTGGTCTATTTGCATTTTAGCCTATTAAAAATTGATTTCAGAGAGGAAGCGAGAAGGAGAGAGAGATGATAGAAACATAAAAAATGAGAGAGCATCATGCATCATGGGTCGGCTGCCTCCTCTACACCATCCCTCCCTCTGCACCCCATTAGGGATCGAGCCCACAACCCAGGCATATGCCTTTGATCGGAATCGAACCTGGGACCCTTCAGTCCACAGGCCAACGCTTTTTCCACTGAGCCAAACTGGCTAGGGTTTAGCCTTTTATTGTATATGATTATTTTTCCCCCTATACATTTTCCTCAACATTTCTTTCACCAAAACCACAAGCATTTCTTATTTTCCCTCCCTCTCTCTCTCCCTTACCAAAGGATATGTTTATTGATTTCAGAGTCGGGGGGCGGGGGGAGGTTTGGAAAGGGAGAGAGAAACATTATCCATGTGAGAGAGAAACATCAATTGGTTGCCTCCCTCATGCACCCCTACCAAGGATCGAACCTGCAACCTTAGGTATGTGTCCTGACCAGGAATCGAACTGGCAACCTTTTGTTGTACTTGGAAGATGTTCCAAACAACTGAACTACCCAGCCGGTGCCTTATTCTTTCTTGATAATGGAGGGGGAAATGAATTTTTAATTGTCAGACTATGTTTTTATTTATTTTTTTATGTCCTTTAACTCAGTACCTTATGAAATATTAAATAAGTATTTTTTGAAGCGTATCTTAGAAGTATAAATTAAATCAATTTTAAAATAATTTTCCAGTCCAATTGTATTATCACCAACATTCTCAAGTTGGGTGTTTTTAAAAAGTGGTCTGTTTAAAAATTTTAAATGTATTTTTATTGCTTTTAGAGAGGGAGAGATAGATGGAAACATTGATGAGAGAGAAACATCAATCAGCTGCCTCCTGCACACCTCCTCCTGGGGATAGAGCCTGTCACCCAGGCAGGTGCCCTGACCAGGAAGCTAACCAGTGACCTCTTGGTACATATCTTCTTTTTATAATTTTTATTTTATTTTTTAAATATATTTTATTGATTTTTTACAGAGAGGAAGAGAGAGGGATAGAAAGTTAGAAACATCAATGAGAGAGAATCATCTATCAGCTGTCTCTTGCTCACCCGCCACTGGGGATGTGCCCGCAACCAAAGTACATCCCCTTGACCGGAATCAAACCCGGGACCTTTCAGCTCGCAGGCCGACACTCTATCCATTGAGCTAAACCGGTTTTGGCCATATCTTCTTTTTAAATCCAACATTACTTCTTCAGACATAATGAAATTAGTATTTGCTTGCTGAACTAAAAACAAACAAAAAGGAGAGCAGCCTAGCCAGCGTGGCTCATTAATTGAACATTGATCTATGAACCAGGAGGTCAGGGTTTGATTCCCAGGTCAGGGCACATGCTCGAGTTTCAGGCTTGATCCCGTGTGGCGTATGCAGAAGGCAGCCGATCAGTGATTATCTCTCATCATTGATGTTTCTGTCTCTCTCTCCCTCTCCTGTCCCCTCTGAAATAAATAAAAATATATTCAAAACAAAACAAAATGGAGAGCAATTATAATTGCTGCTTTTAGAAAATTTCACAAGTAAGTTTTCCATTTGTAAATGACACCTAATTTATCTATGCAATCTCCTCTCTTTTGTTTTGCTCCTCTCTTCTTCTTCCTCTCTTTTCTGTTCTTCCTCTCTCCTTTCAACTAACATGCTAGGCATTGTGAATCCAAAGATGAATAAGGCATATTTCCTCTTCTCACGGAGCTTCCTGTCTGGCGATGTTGGTCAGTATGAGGACTTGAAATACCAAGAACGATGTCTCAGTAATTATTAATCATGACAGTTGATTAACCAGGATATTTATCTTCCTCTCATGAGGGAAACATGTAGCCTAATAGATTTTTGACAACAAAAAGACCTGCTCTGAGGATATAATAAAGCAAAACTTGTGTCTCCCGTCATTCTTTGCAGCATCACCATTTTAATATAAGGATTGGTATAGCATTTCTTTCTGGTTATAAATGCAAAATGGAAGTGTCTTTGGAGTTTATCTAATGTAATGTCTTTCTTTACTGATAGGGAGAAACTAAGATCAATGGATGGGAAGTTAGGAATATTCTTTATTGTATGTAGTACTGATATGTGTTTTCCTGTGTTCCCTGACCTTTTTGGACTTTTTTTTTGTTGCTAACAGATTAAGTTTCCCACATCATATATTTTCATATATTTAAAAAATGTTTCTTTCTCCTGTAAAACATCTTTTTTTTTTTTTTTTTGCTTAAACAAGTTTAGTTCTAATAATTTTTGCTTATATGATGGAATTTTTAAGTTTTTTACTATTATTGGCAATTCTTCTGAAACCTACCAATCGCTCTTAAAATACATACCATGTATTTATATTATAGTTTCATGAAGAAAGAGAATGATTTGTGTGCCTCACTCCCCAAATTTATCTATTTTTCCATTGTTTTAGTTCTCTACTAGAGGTTTGGTGCATCAAATTTGTGCAGGGGGGGGGGGTTCCCTCAGCCAAGCCTGCACCCTGTCCAATCCAGGACCCCTCAGGGGATATCTGACCGCTGGTTTAGGCTCGTTCCTGGGGATCGGGCCTAAACCGGCAGTTGGACATCCCTCTCACAATCCAGGACCACTGGTTCCTAACTGCTCATCTGCCTGCTTGCCTGATTGTCTCCAATTGCCCCCCCCCCCCCCCCCCCCGCCAGCATGGTCACCCCCAACTGCCCCCCCTGCCAGCCTGGTCATCCCCAACTGCCCCCTCCCCCCACTGTCATGGTCACCCCCAGCTGCGCCCCCCTTGCCGGCCTGGTTGCCCCCAACTGCCCCTCTCCCAGCCTGGTTGCCCCATGCAACCTGCTGTTCAGTTGTATGGTTGTCCCTCAGTAATCCCCCTGCCAGCCTGGTCGCCCTATGCATCCTGCTGGTCATTCATTTGATTGTCCCTTACTAACCCCCTTGCCAGCTTTGTCGCTCCATGCAGCCTGTGTTTTATCATCTGTTTTTTCTGTCCTGACAGTCCCTGGCTTTTTATATATAACTTGCCCAAAGATCACATAGGTAATTTAGGGTAGTGCAGAAGGTCAAACCTAGATCTTTGTGATTTAAAAAGCTGTGCTTTTTCTAATACACTTAAAATATGCTAAACATGCCCAATACTGGGCCTCTTAGAGAATTTAAAACTATAATTTAAAAACTATACCTAATAAACTGTGTTTTAAATATATTAGGATTCTAAATTACTCTTGAGCCATCTGGGATAAATATAAGGCTGTGTTAATTGTTGACTCAGTTATCCAATTTTTATAAAGTTTCAGTATAGTTGTACAGTTTTGAACTGAATTATTGCACTAGAAACTATCAGCTCATTAATTTTTCTTTTAAAAATGTTATCATGATTTATTTACATACAACTTTTTTCTTGCTTTTTCTTTTTGATTTTCTTTATTTTTTATTTTATGATTTTTTTTTTTTTTTTTTTTTTTTTTTTTTTTTTTTTTTTTTTTTTTTATTTTTTTTTTTTTTTTTTTTTTTTTTTTTTTTTTTTTACATTACAGACAAACAGAAACTTCTTTCATCTTTCCATTCTCTGATTTATGATAAATTTAGTTTCCTTTGGCCTGGCATTTGCTTCAGCAGGCAGTCTTTCTTCAAGTACGTCCCTGATTGATGTATAATCTTTGATATCTTCCATTAGCCTCCAGGATCACTAAGTTCAAGGCCCCCTTGGAACCTAAGGAGCCCTGCCGAGGAGCTGAAGGCCTTCAGAGTCCTTGGGGTGATTGACAAGGTAATTCTTCAGTGCCTCTTCAAGAGTTCAGTCATAAATCGACTGCATGCTGACATTATGTCTTTGAAGCTTTGGATCTTAAGGATATGAAACAAAAGGAGAAAATGACTCAAATGCATCTGCACTTTAAAATAACAAAAGCAGAAGAGAAAAAGCTTTTATCTAAGCAATTCATGTAAGGTCATGCAAAATATATTGGAGCTAAAGGAGAAGGTGCATATTTGTTGGCATTCAGTGGAGTAGGGGTTTGGTTTTTTTATACCTGTTATAACAGAGTAAAGATATACTTTGTTAGTTACAAAAACTTGGGAGTCAGTAGTCATTCACATTAACTGGTGTAGTCAATATAATTAGTCAAAAAAGAAAAATGGCATCTCCCAATTACTACTATTTACTGAGCACCTACTATGTGTCAAACCATATCTTAGGCATTTTATATAAAACAAATTATTTTCACAACTCCGTTATTTGCATCTTAGTGAGAAAATGAGGTTTAAAAGAGGTTAAGTAACTTGCCCAAAGATCACATAGGTAATTTAGGGTAGTGCAGAAGGTCAAACCTAGATCTTTGTGATTTAAAAAGCTGTGCTTTTTCTAATACACTTAAAATATGCTAAACATGCCCAATACTGGGCCTCTTAGAGAATTTAAAACTATAATTTAAAAACTATACCTAATAAACTGTGTTTTAAATATATTTGATCAACCATTACTTTTACCTTTCAAAGTCAAAGAAAATGCTTTAGTTAATGTTAAGATGTACATTAATTTAAATCTTTTTTACATTAGCCATCTTTTATGAAGCACCTTAGTGGTCATTTGTAAATTACTGAGCACTTCTTGTCTTCTAAAGTGTGCATGTAATTCCATGCTAAAACCGTGCAATATGCAGTATAACGCAGGTAATTTAGACAGTAATTTATAGTTTGAGGTATTCCAAAAGTAACATTAGGTTGGATATTACATGAAGCTCTCAGTGTCTTATTAAATTCTTACAAGCATCATTTTCCTCAAATTTTGATCTTAAGAATTCTAAGACTGAATTTTGATCTTAAAGAATTCTAAGCAGTATGATTTTAGAGGTTGAAATGATGCCTTAACCATGTTTTCCCTGGCTTTTCAGAATATTCAGTTTAAGAGTACAGAGAGACAAAATAGGAATTGAGTAGTTTCCTGGTTTTTGGATTTCTGTGCATGAAAATAAGCTTTTTTGATGTACAATGTCTGTTCCCTCTTAGACTTGTTTATTTTGACAAAGTGTGTCCTTTCATTGCTTTGCTCTAATTATGAGTAAGTCACCTGACTTATTCAACTAAGAAATTTTGACAATGGAGGAATTCCTAAGTCTTTGCTGAAGTATAATTTATTACTGTTTTTACTCTATTAACTTATGTTTGGTGTTTAGAAGGTGACATTTAATTTTCTTAAGTAGAGATAAGGAATTATGTTTTGGAATTAAATAAGCTTTTTATTATTATTTTATTTTTATTTATTGATTTTAGAGAAAGAGAGAAGGAGGAAGGGAGGGAGGGAGACAGATTGAGACAGAAATAGACTGAGAGAAACACAGAGAGACAGGGCCATTGATTTTTTTATTCCACTTATTTGTTGAATTCATTGGTTGATTCTGGGAGTCATACCTGCAGTCTTGGTATATCAGGATGGCTCTCTAACCAACTGAGTACCTGGCCAGGGTTGGGAATTAAATAAGTTTTGCAAGTAATCTTTTAAAATGTGTAACATAGTCTCTATTATACTTTGCAAGAGCATCAATAGGTAAACTTTAAACAATTTGAATTTTTTAAAAAATATAAATTTCTATCAATTGTACTGAGGAATACCTGAAATTTGGATTTGACAAACTTAAAGTTTGGAAGAGAAGTATTGAATAAATTCAAACAGCTAAAAAAATACACAGGATATGGTAATCTAGCCCAGGACCCAGTTTCTCTGATTCTCTTTTATTATAGTATTTGTTCTTTCTGAGTTATTTTGAGTGTTATTGTCTATTAACTTAGGAAAATAAAATTTCCCTAGGGTAGGAGTTTATAAACTTTTATATAGAAAGTAGATAAAACAGATTACTATCTAGACCTTAAGTTCTTGAGAACAAGATTTTGTCTTTCTTGTTCATATCCATATTCTCAACACTTAGAAGCATGCCTGGCACATAATGGACACTCAATAAATACTTAATGATTGAAACTTAAATAACTTTAAGTACTATATTATCTATAGACTGTTACCTATTGGTATATTATGAGACTGCTACCTACTATCACTGTTCAAGACACTCAGATGTCTTTACTCAGATGTATATTAATTCCAAAGCTGTATCTTGGTCTAGTATTCAAAGGTAAATAAGTGACTTTGTCCTTTAATTGGGATTAACATATACAAGCAACAAGAAAGTTAAGCATAGGGCTCTTGGATTCTAAATAAACTGGTGTGCATTCAGAAGCAAGAATGATAAGGCTGGTGAAGGCCCTCCAAATCATATATTCAGAACAGCTGAATTATGAGTAATGGTTAACTGATAAAAACATGCACAGTGTTTATATTTTTGAGGGCTCTCCAATATAGAGGGACTGTATAATGTTTTGTTCAAATCTGGGGGTGAAAAGGGATATTAATTATGCCAGAACAACATCTAGGACAACCTAGGATATCTGGTTTTCCTGGGAAAAGATAGTAAGGGATGAGACGTCAACTAGAACTAAATGAGTATAAGTTGGCAAAATTTTGGCCAATGATTGGAGATACTTTTCAAAAATTTGGTTTGACCAAAGGCAGACTGGATTCCTTCATATCTTATTTGTTTCATGTCATTAGAGATATTTAAGTAAAGGCTGAAGGATCATTGGTGGGGATATTCTAGAAGGAATTAAAGAATTGAATGGAATATTTTTTAAATTTAGAGAGTAAGTGTGGAGGTGTAGGAAGGGGAGGAGAGAGAGAGAGAGGAGAGAGAGAGAGAGAGAGAGAGGAAAGAAGAGAGAAAGGAAGGGAGGGAGGGAGGGAGGGAGGGAGGGAGAGAGAGAGAGAGAGAGAGAGAGAGAAAGAGAGAGAGAGAGAGAGGGAGGGAGGGAGGGAGGGAGGGAGGGAGGAAAGGAAAAAAGAAAGAGAAACATTAGTTTGTTGTTCCACTTATGCATTCATTGGTTGATTTTTGTATTCGATGCCCTAATCCAGAATCAAATCCAAAACCTTGGTGTATCAGGTGATGCTCTAACCAATTGAGCTACTAAGCTATGTATATTTAAAATGTCCAGGTTTCTATAGAAAGTTATCGAGAAAAGATAGTCCGCTGATACCAATAGTGAGATGACAGAGATGTTAGTTATCTCACAGGATTTATAACAGCCATCATGAAAATACTTAAGAGAGCAATTGCAAACACCCATAACACAAAATAGAAAGTCTCAGAAGATGTAAAGAAAAACTAAATGAAGATTTAGAACCAAAAATATACAATACGGGGGGTGGGGGGGACCTCTCAGTGGGCTCAATAGAATGGATGGGACAGAGAAAAAATAGTGCATTTGAATATAGAACAATAGAAACTACCCAATGTGAATAGAGAAATAGACTAGGGGGTAGGGGTGGGAGGGAGGGAAATGAACAGAGACCCAGGAACCTATGAAGCTAAATTCAGCAATTCTTTTTTTTTTTTTAAATATATTTTATTGACTTCTTTTACAGAGAGGAAGGGAGAGAGATAGAGAGCTAGAAACGTCAATGAGAGAGAAACATCAACCAGCTTCCTCTTGCACACCCCCTACCGAGGATGTGCCCGCAACCAATGTACATGCCCTTTGACCGGAATTGAACCTGGGACCTTTCAGTCCGCAGACCAACGCTCTACCACTGAGCCAAACTGGTTTCGGCTAAATTCAGCAATTCTAACACTCATGTCATTGGGGTTGCAGATGAAGAGGAGAAAGGGGGGAGCTAACAAGTGTTTGAAGAAATATGGCGAGACATAATCCTACAGATTCAAGAAGTGAATCTCAAACAGGATAAATCCAAACAAATCCATGGCAAGGCACACATAGTCCAACTTTTAAAAAGTAAAGATGAGAAAATTCGAAAGCAGTAAAAGAGAAGCACTTACAGAGGAAAAATAGTTTGAATGACAGTGGATTTCTCATCAGAAGCCATCAATGCCATAAGGCTGGCACACCATTTTTTAAGCGCTGAAAACAATGACCTTGTAAAGATCCTTAACTATCTCCTCCTGGGATCTAGTACCAGCAGCATTCTGGGAGCTCACAGGGAGAAGGGGGATGTCCTCATCAATTTGGCCTACAGGCTTTCATACAATGCTTCTGTTTTCAGTACAAACAGTTCCATCTTCAGTTGTCGGGCTTCTGATTCCACGTATTTAGAAAATGAACCTTTCTCTAGCCTTTTGCTGGGGAGGAGAGGGCAGCTGTCTGGCTGTCTGTACAGTGGCCTAGAGTGTAGACATTTCTCCAGTCCTCCTGTTTTCAGGAGAAACCTGGTACCCCTCATTTCTGGAGGTCTGCAGGAAAAATTGGCTTGCTTTTTGTTGTTTTCACCTGTAGACATTTGGCATATGTTTTTTGTCTTCTAAAATTTTGCCCTCTTTTCAGATCCCTTTTGTTTACAGTGACTCTTTTAAAATCTGTTTACTATTATTCAGTGGGGTTTCTATGGGAGATTGTGATCTGTAAGAGAATGTTAAATTTAACACATTATGTAGTCCTGTCAGCTTCATGGCATCCATAATTTTAATCACATATCTTTGTTGATCTTTTTAAAGTTGTTAATTTTAAAAAAGTCAAATAGTACAAAGAGTCCTGTAGGTGATATATGGCTACAATAATTATTTCAAGTTGAACCACCACCCTCTGGGTGTTGCTATTAAATAGTTACATCAAATCCATCTTTCCTTCAACTGGGTTTCAAATTAAAGTTTAGGAGTCCCCCTTGTGCACTGCTTGTGGAAACACAGACTGGTGCAGCCACTGTGGAGA